CCTGGGACTAGACAAAGACTTGAAGGCCTTGGGCATGGCAAGTTCATAATACGGAATTAGCTAAGATGTGTTTCTTGTTGTGATGTACCGTGACAGCTTGTGTGTCATAAAAGTGAAACCATGGTTTGAAAACACCTCATGCGTTTGTTGTTGAATAATGTGCACGATCTTAGAGATTTGCAAAAATTGAGTGAATGGGTGTTGGTGTGTGTTAGATTTTTAATGCTCTGGGAGTTACAGTTTCCCCCTGGGACAGCAGGGAATGGTGTATGCTAATGTGTTTAGCATTTCGTCACGACTTGCATGATACCTTTTCAAAGTAACTGTGAAAAAGTAACGCTATTAAAGAATAAATTTGTTTTCTTAGGATCTTGATAAAGTAGAAGTTTGGATTTTGAGTTGCCTGTGACTATCAATGTGTTAGCATTTTGAAAAAGAGCAAAAGGGGTAAGAACCTGAAACTGCTTATTTTATCGTGTGTTAATGAGACATTGACCTTCACTTTGCAGACTTCTTCATTTGATTGCACACCATCTCCCAGCAAGACTCCTGTAGAAAATCCACTAAACATAATGTTGAACATTGTTAAACAGGAAACGCAAGAGTCCTGTGACTCACCTAAAGTCAAAGAAGAATCTGATGACACCCCTACTGCCTGTGCAGAAGAGAGCACACCTGCATCTACAGATATTAAAACAGAACCTGACGAGTCTGTTTAAATTAACTGAGGTATGAATATGATTTTTTTTTTTACAGAAGAGCTGCTGTGTTAACTCTGGAAGGCAAATACTTTTTATATGAAATAAAAATGTTCAACTGAGGCAGGGCCTCAACTACTGTTTGGTTAATAAATACATTTTTGTATTTGAATTTCTTATTGCCTGCACAGTTTCAGGTGTCATTGTGTGAAAGTTCTGTAGATGCGTGAAAATTTAATGGAATGAAATGGTATATGTAAAAATGTACAATTTTCACTTGTGGAAATGTAAATTATAAATAAAAGATATTTTTGCTATATATGGAGTGTAATGTTTATGCACACCATCAAATGAAGACAGTGTTTCTGTACTTTTTTCAGTTTAAATGGAATTAAAAAGAACTTTTGCTCAATAAGGTTCAGAAAAATGAAAGCAAATAACTTCCATTATCCCATAGGTGGGTTATCAAGGGAAGCAGTGCAGGAACTTCTCAGATAGACAACCCTAGATTTCTTTTCTTTTTAAACTTATTTGAACAAACTTACATATCCAGATATTAAAAAACAAAACAAAACAAAAAAAAAAAAAACACAAACGAAAAAACCCCAAAAAGACAGTTCTGGGTAGAAGGGGAAAAATTAACAAACCAACCGGAGTGCTTGATTGTGAACACAAGTGCCAACAAATAATTAACAAACCAGGATGCCTGGTAGTTAAGTAATTTTTAATGATTTTTCTTTTTTCCATTAGTCAAACACATAAGAATTTAATACAGCTGAACAAATTTTCTTTACGTTACAGGGGGGAATTAATGTAAGAATGCTCATTAGAAACATGGTTAACTTTTTTTTTTTTGTTGCTTATGACTGGACTTAGATGGTAAACCAGATATCCTGAGATGTTAATATTTCTTAAATGTACTAAATAAAATTAAGCATATATTTGAGTGTGAGTCTCTTCCTTTCAGTACTGGGTTTGTGTGGCTGGCATGTTTGTGGGACTGGAAATAAATAATACATTTGTGACAATATGCATTTAATGCTTCATTCTTTCTGCCATGTGTTATAGTGCATATTTTTACAGCTGCTGGGAGCAAGACATAAGCACTAGAAGAGCAATGTCACAGGCGTAGTGTGTTACTGCTGCAGTGAGGATATTCAGGAGATGAGAATTTGCCCTCACTGTATGATGCAAGCAGAAATAACCAGCTGTGGAGGTGGTTTTGCTGTTGGCTACGCCACTTCTTCCCATCCTCACAACCCGGAGGCTTCAAGCAGTTTTTAAGATGTGAATAATTCCTCCGCTTTCGTATTAAGGTTGTAGCTATAGCTGTGAGTGTGCCCTGTTCTACATGTCAACCTGAAAAATACCTTCTGATTAGAGACAGTCTAGAGGGGAAAAAAAATGCTCTGGAGGTGGACTGGGAGAGGTCAGCTGGGGGAGTGGTGTGTGGCTGCGCTGTGGGAGTTACTCCTCTCTTAACTCGTTGCAACTTCATCCCAGAACAGGGATGTTGGATTGGGCCAAGCGACACTTTGCGTCCCAGAATGCGGTAAACTCCTCTGAAATTGTGCAAATTGAAATTCAGAGGAGACTGAGCAGTGACGTGATGTCTTTAGATATGTAGAAGGCTGTTTAGAAAAAGGGAGCAAATTACTCTGTCTGCTAGGGATAGAACAAAAAGAGACCTGTAAGTTGCAGCAGGAGGATTTATGGCAACTTTCTAATGACAAGGATGGTTCAGCTCTAAATGGACCTTACCTGGTAGTTACCCGTGCATGCACGTAAATCTGATTTGGAAGGGTTCCTCCTGCCTGGAAGCAGGGCTCTGGAAATGTAGGGTGCTTCCTGCCCCATTGAAAGAACCCGATGTCCCTCTGAGGCTGCAAGGGGTGAGGAGCAGGACCGCCTGTGGGGACAACCCGTCCCCTCGAACCCCGCGAGTGCCTTCGTGCCCAGAGACGGCTGTACAAATCGGGCCTGGAGCCGGAGAGCATAAACAGGTTAAATACCTCTTGGTCAATACATCACCCGTGGCCTCGGAGATGACACTTCTCCCTGAGGAATGCC